AAAACGGAGAGATAGTAGTCACAGACAGAAAAGGTAACAAAAAGGCAGAAGGGCCAGATAACGACCATGAAAGAGACTGAGATAGGAGTAACAGAAAGGGAAAGCAAGGAACAGGTAAATAATGGTGTAATGAGTAGAGGCAAGTAGGGGATGAGTAGAGGTAACCGATGCGTACACACAAACAAAGCATGACTGTGCCAGACTGTTTTATCAAACTTTCACCGTCTCATCAGGAGGTTGCAACAGTATATACCCAGGATGCATTTGACTGATGGCTAAGGACTCACCATGTCGCCCAGAAATAGCGATGCCCCATAGAAAAGTGGTGGACTTTACTCACACAAACCCTGCAATCCTGTGTGTGTGTGTGTGTGTGCGTGTGTGTGTGTGTGTGTGTGTGTGTGCGTGTGTGTGTGTGTTCACCTGGCACCCTTTTGGGGCGTGGGATAGGTTGAAATAAAGGAGCTCCCCAAATGAATGACTTGCAATCAGCCGGCTTATGAAATCATGCACCTCCACCGCTTTGTGGACTGGTGGTTATTGGCTGGGCTGGGCCGCCGCCCGGCCGGGCGGACCCCGGCCGGTTGGGCCCGGGGGGGTCCGCCCGGCTGAACCGGGCGACGCAAAAACATGGCAAGGAAATTTTTTTATTTTTTTTTCGAAGGTGGGCCTGTGCTGCGCTGCACTAGAGGACCCCGAATCTGCAATAAAAAGTAAATTGGGGGTTGGGGGGGGATGAGGGATGTCAGTGGTGGATGTCACAGACCTTGCAGGTGTGTCTGTGGAAGAAGAACGAGAAGAGGAGGACGAAGAAGAAGAAGAAAAGGAGGAGGAGGAGGAGAAGAGGGAGAAGAAGAAGAAGCAAAAGAAGAAGAGAAGGAGGAAGAAGAAGATGAAGAAGAAGAAGCGGAGGAGGAGGAGAGGACGAAGAGGAAGAAGAAGAAGAAGAAGAAGAAGAAGAAGAAGCAGCGAAGGAGGAGGAGGAGGAGAAGAAGAAGAAGAAGAAGAAGAAGAAGCGAAGGAGGAGGAGAAGAAGAAGAAGAAGATCTTTCTCTCTCTCTCTCTCTCTCTCTCTCTCTCTCTCTCTCTCTCTCTCTCTTACTAACACACTCACCGTGGCGCGCGTCGGGGGGCGTCGGCGGGCAGCGCGATGGCGTTCGGGGGGCATCGACTGCGTTGGTGGGCGCGCGGTTCGAAGGCAACGACGAATGCAGCAGTCGGGCGAAGTGAGGTGTCGGGCGTGGGGTTCGAAGGCAATGACGAACGAGTCGGCCGAAGTGAGGCGGGAAATTAGAAGCAGCGTGGGAAAAAAAAAAAGGGCTGGTAGGCCCGATTTGAACTATTTCAAATCGCGGCCCATCTGGGCCGTCGATCTTGGAGATCGATGGCGCAGATGGGCCGCGATTTGAAATCTTTCAAATCGGGCCTACCGGCCCTTTTTTTTTTTTTTTCATACACGGCCTCCTTTGGGGGGGAGAAGGCCCCCTGCGTCGAAAAAAAAAAGAAAAAAAAAAACCTCGATGATGCGCTGGGGTCGCCCGGTGGCCAACCGGGCGGAACGACTGGCCCGGCGGCCCGGCCCCCCGCCCGGGCAACGAGCCGGCCGCCGGGCGGCCCGGAGTTCAGCCTAGGTTATTGGCTCTTTTTTTTCTTTTTTGCTCCTTTGCACTTACTGGTAGTCAACTACCTTTTCTGACGAGTTGTGACGGGCAAATTGTGACCAGTGGTTTCCAAATAATGGCCACCTATTTACCCACTAATATCATGTCCTAACCTATGCTGAACTCCGGGCCGCCCGGCGGTCGGCTCGTCCCCCGGGAGGGCAGCCGGGCCGCCTGGCCGGTCATTCCGCCCGGTTGGCCACCGGGCGACCCCAGCGCATCGTCGAGGTTTTTTTTTTTTTTTTTTTTTTTCGTCGCGGGGGCCCTTCTCCCCCCCGAAGGAGGCCGTGTATGAAAACCAAAACAAAAAAAAAGGGTCGGTAGGCCCGATTTGAGGTAGGCCCTTTTTTTTCCAAGCTGCTTCTAGTTTCCTGCCTCACTTCGGCCGGACTCGTTCGTCGTCGCCTTCGAACCCCACACCCGACGCCTCACTTCGGCCGACTGCGGCATTCGTCGTTGCCTTCGAACCGCGCGCCCGCCAATGCAGTCGACGCCCCCTGAACGCCATCGCGCTGCCCGCCGACGCCCCCCGAACGCCATCACAGTGCCCGCCGATGCCCCCCGACGCGCGCCACAGTGAGTGTGTTAGTAAGAGAGAGAGAGAGAGAGAGAGAGAGAGAGAGAGAGAGAGAGAGAGAGAGAGAGAGAGAGAGAGAGAGAGAGAGAGAGAG